ACCTTGAAGGAGTGGATTGTTACCAGTGCGGGGATTTGATGGGCCGTTGTAAGCATAAGGATGATTACCTAAGGAATCGAATAGACTACTTTAGAAAGATCAGCAGAACGATACCCCGTTTTGACGAGTTAGAAGGTGTCCCATGGACTAACAGGGAATACTGGAGGCAGCAGTGTGGGAGATGTGGATGTGTAAGAGAAGAGGAGCACATATTCAACTGCCTTTTAACCATATCTTAACATTCTGAGGTGGTTTCTAGGAGGGCTTCCGACCTTCCTTAACAATAATTTAACCATATCTTAACATTCTGAGGCGGATTCTAAGATGGTTTCCGACCTTCCTTAACAATAATTTAACCATATCTTAACATTCTACATGGGATATCTCATGAAATCCTTAATGGAATCTTTCGCCCAACCTGCCATCGTTATTAGCGCGCCAAACCGCTCTGCGCGCTTCAGACCGCACATTTCCTCATAAAGCTCCTTTACGCGTTCATTTAGCCGGTCTATCTCCTCCCTTTGCATTTCGACCGTCCTCTGTAGGTCTGACTTTTCTTTGACGACGTGAACCATTGCTTTGACTGCTTCCACGGGCTCCATATATTTCAGGTAATAAATTACCTTCGAGAAAAGGCAACTAGTGAAAATCCCTGTGATTTTCTAAAATATCAGGGAACAAGTTCCCTTCGAAAGAAGGGATATAAATGAACCCAGATCACATGCCTTGTAACGCTCTGATAGTAGGACCCACCGGCTGCGGAAAAACCCAATTCGTCGTGGAGCAGCTGCTAGGACCCTTTAGATACCGATTTGACTACATAGTGCTGCTTTGCCCCACCTACGTGAATAACCGCACCTGGACGGGCGTAGGCGCGAAAGATGATGACTTCTTTGTGGATATCTTAGACCCTAACGAGTTATCTGGACATCTTAAGTTCTAGCACAAACAATTCCCTAAAGATACGCAAACCTTGCTCATATTGGATGACATCGCCTGCGGGGACGACGTAAAAAGACGCACGTCAGAGCTCGTTAAACTCGCCTTTAGCGGCAGGCATGACAACATTAGCGTTTGGTTGCTCTCGCAGCAGCTTACCAGTGTCTCCAAGCCTTTTAGGGAAAACATAGGATCTCTCGTAGTATTTTATACTCCGAGCAAGTCTGATCTGGAAACCATCTTAAGCGACTACGGCGGTGAAATATCCAAGGAACAGTTGCATGAATACATGTGGCATCTAAAGACGCACCAACATTCCAAGATGATCTTCTCTTTGAGGTTTCCGTATT